TGCAAAGGGACCTTGGCAGGTTTGGCAGCTGGGTGCCCATCAACAATCAGCAAGAATGCCCAGAGGCTGTTGAGAATTCCAAAGAGCTTTCCCTGCTGCTCTCTAACCAGCTCTAGGTCCTGTCCCTCACGTCTCAAGAGTGTGCCTGGAAGCAGAAATGCCTCAAGATTTTCAGCAGGAGCCTCTGGCTTCACCCTGAATGGCAGCGTGCTACTCCCAGCGTGCCAAGGTAAGAGCCTGGAATGCTGAAGATGAAGCTTCCTGGTCTGAAGATCAGGATCATGGCAAGCTACTCAGAAAGGAACGAGGGATGTTCAATGCCCAGAACGAGGAACCAAACCCAAGAGAAACTTGAGGTTTCAGTCAGCATCTGCATGGTTGAAGTACTCCTCAGTTCAGGGCTGGCTGGATTGCGTTTGACATCCCACAGGAGTGTGCTCGGTGGCACAAACAGGAGCCCAAGGCTCACGAGAGCTTTGCAGGCTTTACATGCCAGAAAAATAACCTTCACATTGTGGCCTAATTTTTTTTTTTGAGACTCTTCCATATTCTGTCCATGCAATGTAAAAACATCTGAAACGGCTCAGCTCCCTGCCTTTACCTGGTCTCTTCCAGCTGCCTGGCAAGGTCTTCTCGCAGCCCCTCGCAGGCTGCCAGTCGCCCCTCAAGGTCAGCCTTCTGGGCCAGCAGCTCCTCCTCTCGCCCCACCTGGGCCACTTCATGCCCTTGGCCAGAGGATTCCTGGCTCAGCTGCTCCAGACACCGGCTCGGTGACTCTTGCTCCTGGGAAACCTGCAAGTGGGACAAGGTACAGCTGGAGCCCTTCCTGGGGAGCCCTGTGCAGAGCCAGCCAGAGCCACCTGACAGGCAGCCAGAGGGCAAGGAGCACCTGTGCTCTGGCCTCAAAGTTTCACAGCACCTGCCCCATGCAGCTCTGATAGCCTGGCCTGCCCAAAGCCTCTGGCGCTGTTTCCTTGGAAGTGCTGTGTCAGGCCCTGCTGCCTTGCCTGGGACCAGACAGCTCCTTCCCAACAAACATCCCTACTCCAAACTCTGTGTTGTCACCCCAAACCTCTGCATCTTCCACATCTGCCAATACAATTTACTCTAAGCACCAGCAGTGCTGAACATTTTCAGCCATTGATCCAAAACTCAGCTGGCTTAAGTCCATCATTCTGCTCACCTGCTCCATTCCTTCATACACCAATTCCAGACCCCCATGTTTCCCCTTTTACAGGCACAGGAGAAGCAGCTCCCCATGCCCAGCTTTTGGCCTGGAGCTGGTTTGAACATCAAGCTTGAGAGCTGGATCGGTCATTCTGGGTGTGCCAGGAAACAATCTGGCAGTCAATGGCCTCTGGCTGGAGCCAGGCACACAGACAAGGCTGCCTGCTGAAGCCCAGGCTGCTTTACCCAAGCAGGCCTGGACTGACAGGGATAGAGACCCACCTCTTCATGGGAAACATCTCTGGAATAAGTCAGGGACACTGGAGTGGACTGAAGGTCAATGCCAGTGCCTGCCTGGATAGAAGTCTTTCCCTTCAGGATGTCTAAGTCTTTCTTCAGAGCCCCTTTGGCAAGTTCACACTTGTTCAGTGCAGCACTCAGTACTTGAGTTTTGTCCCTCAATTTCTTCAAAGCAGCAGCACCATGCTCCAAATCTTCCTGCTGTTCTTCCCTCTCCATCTCCAATTCTTGAGTATTTCTCTTATGATTTCTCATCTCAGGAGCATGCATTTCATTCTTCTTTTCCAGATCTCTCATCTGCTGCTGGTACAATTCCCGTTCATGCTGCCAAAACAGGGAGAAAAAGGGTCACTCATTCCCTCTCTCCCTTTGCTTTTCATACCAGATCTGGACTCCTGCTGCAGGGGCAGGCACAGGCTGCCCCTCTCTCTCTGCCCCTCGGGATGCTGCAGAGCTTTGCTGGGCCCCCCTTGATGCTGCATCTTTCCCAGCTCACTCAGCCCGTCCCAGCTTCCCTTCTGCCCTTCCCTGGCCTCCTGCAGCTCCACTCCAGTGCTCCTTTGGGCAGGAGCTGCCAGAACTGCAGCCAGGATTGCAAGTGCACGCTAAGCAGGATTCAGGCAGTGCCACGAGGATGTGCTCTCCATCAGGGAGGAAGGGAAGAGCAAACAGCCCCAGCCTTTCATTCCCTGCCCTTGGGCTGACAGCAGTGGTTTCCCACCTCTCCTGTGTAGAGTTTCCATGGCTCCATCCCCCAGAGCCCCACTGCCCTCTCTGGCAGCAGCAATGGCCACATCAGTCTGTCATTCTCTGCTGCCACTCAGGACGAGTTCTCCCCTTGCAGGCACACGTCCTGCTGGGGATCAGCACTTGCCTCTTTCCTCTCCTCTCTCCCCACTGGCTGCTCTCCGATGGCCAAGGCCAAACACCTTTCTATTAACAGCAAACTTGGGACTCTTCCCCCCTCCTTCCAGATCCAGATATTTAGAAATCTGAACATGGGATTGGCCACCAGGAATTCCCCAAACCATGCAATGTCAATAGGGACAGTGAGGACATTGAGAACTAAAGGTCCTAGGGCACAGAAGCCCAGCATGGAGGAAAATCAGCAGCCTCAGCATTAACTGGCTTTGCCATGACTACAACATCTTCTCCTCCTTATTCAGAAGAATGCAATTATAAAAGTTAAACTGAGAAAAGGTGCTCTTTAGAACTATGAACACAAGGTCCAAACATAGCTAGGAAATGGTTCTTTGTGGCATCTGCCAATCTCACCAGCACATCTTTCCTTTTCTTCTCCAGCTTTTCCAATTTCCTCTGCAGAGAGTGACCATGAGTCACATCCTCTTCCTTCAGGGCAATGATGTCTTTCTTCTGGGTGCTTTCTAGAGAGATTTTCTGGTGTTCTGCCTTCAGTATTGCTGCAGGAGGGAAGGGGAAGGAGGAGGGGAAAAGAAAAGTCGAGTTAAACTGATGTGCATCCTGCAGATTCAACAGCACTGCCTTCTCTACCTGCCTGTGTTTGCCAGGCTCTAAGCCCACAAAGGCTCCAAAGCTGACAGAAATGAAGGAAACTTCCCGGCACAGAAAAAGGCAGGAATGAAAGGGACAAGTTTCAGAGGAACAGGAACCTGTGTTTGCTCTTGGCCTTGTGCAGAGTGAGCAATTCAAGAGAGACAAAGGAGAGGGGATGCCTGTGCAGCCCTGCTCCAGGGAGGCCAAGAGCCTGGAGACTCTGGCAGGGCCTGGAGTTAGGGGGAATGGAGCTGAGGCATCCAGCTACAGCTCCTTAGCACAGACACGGCAACTGAGAGGCACCAGCTGTGTACGGGATCAGCCCTAGCACAACCAGATGGCAGTGCCAGCCACAGCATGTTTCTCAGGAGAATGCTTTCACTGGCACTTGGATGGAGTAATCTCCTGCTGGCTGTTTTTCTCCTCAGCCATCTCTGGGCACTTTTCGTCTGCGAGGCATCAGTGAGATCTCCGCTGATGAGAGATAGCATGGGGCAGTGGATGGTAGAGGAGAAGCTGTACCTTGCTCACTTTGCTCCAGCTGTTTCAGCAGCTCCCTATTGCGAGCCCTGAGATTGTCTCTCTGAGCCTGTCTTTTCCTCAGCTCTAGCTCCAAGGCGTTACATTGTGTGACAATGGCCTGTGCTCTTTGGTCAGAGCTCTGGAGCCTCATGCAGAGCTCAGACACATCAGTTTCCAGCTGCTTCTGTCGAGGTTCAAGGCAAGCTCCCTTCTCCTTCACTGCCTCCAGCAGGGCCCAGGCCTGGAAAATGGATGCACAGGGCCTCAGGGACACGGCTGCTCATGAGGCCACAGAGTGGGCCACAGGGAGAGCAATAAAGGAGAAATGACTTCAAGCCAAAACCAGAAGGCACAGAGGCAAGGATTGCAATGGAGACAAATGGAGAGAAAACAGGGAAAGGGAGGCAATGGGGCTGCAGCTCTGAACAGCGGCTGAACTGGCTGTGCTGGAAGTGCCCTGCCCAGCCTGCCACAGCCACCTCTGTATCCCCACATTGCTCAGAGCCTGGCACAGGCACCAACTCTGTATGGGACAACACGGCTAACAGAGGGACAAAGAAGCTCCAGAAGAGTCTGCTGCTGCTTCTCCTCCCACATTTCCTGCTGGGACCTGGGAGAGGATGGGGGAAAACTTCTGCAGCTGACACCAGATCCAGCCTCAGGCTCAGAGTGCAGCAGCAGCCCTGGGCAGAACACGGCAGCTGTGGATGCTGCTGGGAGGGGAAAGAGGTTGGGGCCTCCAAGGCAAAGGTGCTGTTGTGTGTCCCTGGAGAAGAGGATGCCACTGCACAGCTTACCTGTGTGTTGAGCCCCAGCAGTTCTCTTCTATGCTCAGAATAGAGCAGTTCTGTCTCCTGAAGGGCAGATTGACACTGAGACACCTGATTTTTCAGTGTCAGGTTCTGTTCTTCCAGTGTCCTAAGGCACACATTCTTTTCTTCAAGAGACAGAATCAGCCTGGAAGGGAAGCAAGTGACTCATTAGTAAATGATATCACATTTTAGCAACTCTTAGGACTTGCACCACCTCAGGGGGAAACTGCTCTGCCTGATGAGGTTTGTCTCAACAACTTGGCTCTTTGTTCCCCCTGCAGTCCCAGCCCAGAATGTGCCTGCTCTGCTTTTGTCCCTGAAGGAACAGTGAGTTCCTGCCTCCATGCCCTACCTTCTTTTTGAGATGGGAATGTGAATGCAAACCTAACAAAGTCTTGCAATGAAGACATTAGGGGAGAGGAACAATTTCCTTCTGACTAACCAGGCTCCAAAGCAGGGAGGTTTGGTCAGCATGGAAGAGACATTTCTTTCTCCCATCTTACACATCCAGTTAGGAAGAGCAGCACCCTAGAGCCAGGGCATCTCTGGCAAGTTCCCTAACATTTACCAGCACCCATCCTACTTTCAGCTGGAGAAACAAAGGCCAAAGTGGCAACCGAGGCTTGGAGCACAACCTCATGGAAGATGCAGAAGGCTCCAGGCAAGCAGGAGTGCCCTGCCTTTCCTTTGTCTCCTTCTTGGAGGAAGAATCCTGTGGCACTGAAGCCTGGCAGGACTTGATTGGCTGCAGGAGCCCCCCATACCTTGGTCCTGTTTCTTGCATTCTTTGCACAGTCAGAAATGCCTGTGACTGTGCAGGGTGGCAGGGACCCTGCTTGACCCCCTGCAGGCACCGGGGGACATTTGATGAGGAACGATGCAACAGAGACATTCTTGTTTCTGGGCTGCCTCCGAGGCCAATCTGGCCTAGAGCAGCAATCAGGGCCTTAAGATGGTTCTGCCCAGAAAAAGCATCAGATGCCAGGCTGATCCAGACCCCAAAGGCTTCAAGTTACAGGCCCCAAGGTGGAGCTGATGGATGGATCCAGCTCCTTACAGTGCAGCTTGGGCAGTGTCAACACACCAGCCTAACAACACAATATCCCCTAGAGGGAAAGGGCTACCCCAAAGCCTTTTTATTCAGAAAAACTCTATCTGAAGGCTTAAAAGTAAAGAAAATGAAACTCAACATCCAGACAATTAGATGTGTCTACCTGGAGATTTCAGAATCCGCCACTTAGGAAATGCTACCAGAGGCCCTGGCAGGTGCAAAGATGGCAAAGAGGGAATCCTTTCAGCACAATGCAGAGTGCCACAGGCTTTCATTTACCTGTTTTTTTCCCTCTCTAGGGCATTGACAGAAGCCTGCAATTCTGAATTTTGCTGAGCCACTTCTTCCCATTGACTCCATTCCTTCTCCAAGTTCTCCAGATGCACTTGCAGCTCCTTGTTCTGATGTTTTGCCTCCTCCAGCATGTTCTGCATCTGCTCAACCTCCAGCAACTTCTGCCTGGACTCTTCCTGGGCCTCCCTCACATCTTGCTGGGCTCTCTGCACAGTCCTTTCCTGGCACTCTCGGGAGGCTGCCAGCTGAGATGTCAACTCTGCCACCTCCAATCAAACAGAACAAGGCAGTCAGAGGCTACAGCCACAGCTACAGTCACAGTCAGCCACGGCACAGGCTGTGAGCAAAGGTAAAGGACAACTTTCCTCTCCTCCCTGTCCTGAGAGCACCAGATTCACAAAGGATATGGACAACTTGTATCAGACTCTAAGTGGCCCACCACCAAGCAGTGCACCTGAGAAAACACCTGCCAAAGCAAGGCTAGCAAGGAGAGGCCAGCAGGAATCCATGCTGCTGCTTGCTGGCCAACAGCACAGAGGACTAGCCCAGCTGTCCAGAGCAGCAGCTGACATTCAGCAGAGCACTGAGTGTCCTTCAGAGCAGCTGATATGGAGCCCCCAGAGCACGAGACAGCCCCAAGGCTCAGCCCAGCAGCTGCTGCTCTGCCATGGAAAAGCAAGAAGGCCACAGACCCCTCCCAGCATGACTGCAGTGCCACTGCTCTCTCACTCACCTGTTAGACTGTGTCTCGGACGGGCTCTTTGGGGTCCACTCTGGCTAACTATTGACCCCAGCCCACACAGTCTTACATAGACAAAAGCAAAAGATTGAGAAGCGTTCTTCTGCACGTGGTAACATTCTCTCTTTATTCCAAGGGACACTTCAGATGGACAGATGGCAGAAGAGGGCGTTCCCTGGTGACAGGGGACTTTTATGCCCGGGGTACTGAATGGGGGCAGAGGAAGAGGTCCACAGCCCATGGGATACCAGTGAGGAGTGGGGAAGGGTAACCCAAGAAGAGACCACCGGGGGGGTACTGGGGCGGTTGAAGGAGAGACCATGTGATGGGGGGAAGAACAAACATGTGATATAACATCAACTATTCAGTGCAATATGACAACCACTCAGTGCAAATACTCTAATCCCCCAGTGCAAAAACAGCAACTAAATGAACTATTTAGTGCAATACAACACCTCCCCCTTTTTCTGTTAAAATTAAAGGAAAAGCATCAGCCTATTTCTGACACAGATTATGAAGTGCAATACAACACTCACCTGCTTTTGTAGAGCCTCCCTCTGCTCAAGGAGGAGATTCATTTCCTCTTTGAGGCCTTGCAGCTCTTCCTCGTGCCTCCTCTGCGCTGCCTGGGCTTCACTGTGAGCTTCCTCCAGCTCAGCTTGCAGATTTGCCTTCATGGTCTGGCAACAAAATGCAGAGCAACTTCCTGGGACCTGCCCTCAGGCTCAGCTTTTTCCACTTGCTGCCTCAAAATCCCATTCCCTCGGCTGCTTCTTTTGGCTTCTCTACCCAGCTCCGCTTCCAGTGCAAGCCTTCCTTCCTGGGGCTGAGCTCTGGAGCTTACCAGGCTCTGTGCTCCCAGGGCCTGAAGCAGCCCTTGCTTCCTCAGTCCCAGGAGCTGCCTTTTGTGCCCTTGTCACTGCCCTGCCCTCTGTTGCCTGCCTACTCACACTTACCTGCCCCTTCTCTTGCTGCTCTGTCACCTCCTGCCTGAGCTGCTGGACCTGCTGGCGGGCTCGGCTGAGCTCTTCCCGAGTTTGCAGCAGTGCCTCTGATAAAGCACTCTTCTCCTTCTGCTCTTCCAGCAGGACCTGCACAGGAGGAAAGAGCAGAGGGCTTCACACTCCTCCTGCAACATCCCCGTGGCAAGGGGCAAAGACTGATGGGCTCACGTGCTCTCAGAGCACTTGGCTGCTGCTGCCCTGGGCCACTGCCTGCCCTGGGGGAGACACAGCTTCCCAGGAAGTGACTTAAAACACAGCCCAGAAGACATCTCTGCATTGCTGTTCAGAAATACTCCAGGCAAGCCTTTAAAGAGATTGTTCTCTTGTCAGCATTCTTGCTGCACCCTCTGCATGCCCACAAAAGAAAAGTCCTACAAACTCACCTTGGCCATGAACATCTACCAGTACACACCAAAAGGGCAGCAGAAGGAGAACAGTGAAGATACCCTGAGGTACATCTTGGAACAACAGAGCACAAGAGCAGCACAAAACTGTCAGCTGACAGCTGATGTTTCTGCCTGGCTTCCTATGAGAGGGCTCATTCCTGGTGCCAAAGACAGCCCCGTTCAGCTTTCACCTCCCCTAATTTTGTGCAGAAGACACGGAGGGCATGCTCCACACAGCCCCATATCCTGCCATCTCCCACAGCTCCAGCCTTGCAAAAAATCACACCTGTTCTCCTCTCACAATCATTACCTCTTGCTTGGCATTTTCCAATCTAGTTCGTTCCTCTTCTTGTTGCGCCAGCAGGGTGGCAACTTTCTGCCTCATCTCAGACAGCTCCTTCTTGTGCTCCTGCTCTCTCTCTGCCTTCTCTTTTTCCCATTGCTCCAGCGTCTTCTGCATCTCTGCACGTTGCCTTTCACACTCACTTGCCTGAGGAGGGGAGGAAAAATTTACAAGATGAAGTCTCAGGCAAGCTCGTGGCTGAAAGATGTGAAGCTCCATCCCTTCCAGAACCCCCAACTGGAAAAGACAACAGCACTGGCTTTCTGCACACCAGAAACTGTGTCCTGTCAGGGAATTCAAAAGGAGGCTCAGCAGGTGCAGGATTCACAGACTTGTGGAATCTCTTCTGCTGGCAAAGACCTTCCCAAGCACCGAGTCCAAGCACTCAGAAGAGGAGGTGTCACCTTCCCCTCTCTGCTGCCCCAGTCACAAGGACTGAAGGACCAGGGACAAGGGGCCTGTTCCATTTGCTTCCAGCCCAAAGCTAATCCCTCTGTCCACCATGGGAGCACAGCAAGAAAGGAAACGAGTTCCCAAGCCTGCAGCCACCAGCACTGTTGGCATCTGCTCCACGTTGGCATCTGCTCCACGTTAGCATCTGCTCCACGTTGGCATCTGCTCCACGTTGGCATCTGCTCCACGTTGGCATGTGCTCTGTGGCAGGTGGGACTCGGGGATGATCCTGCCCTGGGCTGCCACGCTTTGGGTGGGCACAGCCCAACCTGCTCTGGATCTCCTCTTACACCCTCCCTGAAGCCATGGCTGCATTTACTGTCCCAGCACCACCCTGGGGGCCTTCATGCTCCTCCAAGTCTCAGCTGCTGGCTCTGCTGCCCAGCCCAGCAGCGGGAGGCCTCTGGCAGAGAATTGCTGCCCTTTCACACCCTCAGCCTCTGCTTGTGCTACACCAACCCACAGGGCTGGCTGGGACAATTCACAAGCATATTGTCCCCTACCAGGTCTTGCAGGAGCTTCTTTATTTCCAGTTGCTGAGCAGTTCCCTGAAGCCTGAGGCTTTCCTGATGCTGCTGCTCTGCCTGCAGGAGCTGTTGAGCTGTGTCTTCCTGTTCCTGCCTCCTGAGAGCTCTCTCTGCTTCCAGCTCACATTGCAGGCCCTTCACTTCTCCTGCAAACATGACCAACAGCAAGAGTCACGCTCTTTACTGACTTTACTGACCTCAGGACCTTTCAGGGCCTCCAGCCCCACCACTCCTCAGAAGCTCCGTGGACAGAGACAGCTTTGCAGGGTGCTCAGCTTCTCTAGGCAGGGGAGCACCACAAACAAAGCACACGAGGTTCTCACCTTCAATCACCTCCTTGGCCTGTGTGACTGTGAGCACTTGAGCTTCCAGATTGTTCCTGGTGATCTCCAGCTGTGATATCTGCTGCTGAGCAGCACACAGCCTGGATTGCAGGCTCTCCTTTGCTGACCTACAAGTTGCAAATATGGACAGACATGAGTTGCTTGCTCCAGACACCCACAGCCGCTTATTCCAGGACGACGTGGCTCAAGATCCCCACGCCTGAGGATGGAAAATGGGTCACCTGGAAACTTGTCCTGAGAAGGCACATCTGGGCCATTTCCAGAGCAGAGCAGGGCCTCTGAGGGACTGCCCAGGCCTTCCTTATGGCCTGGCCTAGCACAGACTGCCCAGCTCAACTTGGCCACAACAGCCAAACCTTCACTTGCTGTTCCTGACCTGTGACTCTGGGTAGCTGTGCCCAAACAGGCTGGAGCAACAAGCAAAAGCCCAGCCCCTGCTCACAGCCCTTCTCTCATCAGCACTTCCAAGCTGCTCTGCAGGGGGACAGAACAGACTCTTGTCCTGGCTGACTCCTGACATTTTAATGCTCTTGGTAATGGACAGAAAGGTATGTCATGTTCCAGACACTCGGTATTTAATGAGGCTTCAGAACTACTTTGCAGATACAGTAAAATCTCATGGCCATGGCAGCACTTGTAAATAATCAGAACAGTTTTTGTCCAAATTACAACTACCTGAATGCAGAAAATCCAGTTTCAACCCCTGCAAGGTCAAGCAGTAGACTTGCTGCCTTTATTTGAGTGTTGCTGAACAAGCAGGCAGGAGCCCAAGGGACTTGCCCTTCCTTACACAGTGAGAGGGACCATGCAAAGGGACCTTGGCAGGTTTGGCAGCTGGGTGCCCATCAACAATCAGCAAGAATGCCCAGAGGCTGTTGAGAATTCCAAAGAGCTTTCCCTGCTGCTCTCTAACCAGCTCTAGGTCCTGTCCCTCACGTCTCAAGAGTGTGCCTGGAAGCAGAAATGCCTCAAGATTTTCAGCAGGAGCCTCTGGCTTCACCCTGAATGGCAGCGTGCTACTCCCAGCGTGCCAAGGTAAGAGCCTGGAATGCTGAAGATGAAGCTTCCTGGTCTGAAGATCAGGATCATGGCAAGCTACTCAGAAAGGAACGAGGGATGTTCAATGCCCAGAACGAGGAACCAAACCCAAGAGAAACTTGGGGTTTCAGTCAGCATCTGCATGGTTGAAGTACTCCTCAGTTCAGGGCTGGCTGGATTGCTTGATTGCTTTCGACATCCCACAGGAGTGTGCTCGGTGGCACAAACAGGAGCCCAAGGCTCATGAAAGCTTTTCTGGTGCTACATGCCAGAAAAATAACCTTCATATCTTGGTTTTTTTGGGTTTTTTTTGTTGTTTTGTTTTTTGTTTGTTTGTTTTGTTTTGTTTTGTTTTGTTTTGTTTTTGAGACTCTTCTGTATTCTGTCCATGCAATGTAAAAACATCTGAAACGGCTCAGCTCCCTGCCTTTACCTGGTCTCTTCCAGCTGCCTGGCAAGGTCTTCTCGCAGCCCCTCGCAGGCTGCCAGTCGCCCCTCAAGGTCAGCCTTCTGGGCCAGCAGCTCCTCGTCTCTGCCCACCTGGGCCACTTCATGCCCTTGGCCAGAGGATTCCTGGCTCAGCTGCTCCAGACACCGGCTCAGTGACTCTTGCTCCTGGGAAACCTGCAAGTGGGACAAGGTACAGCTGGAGCCCTTCCTGGGGAGCCCTGTGCAGAGCCAGCCAGAGCCACCTGACAGGCAGCCAGAGGGCAAGGAGCACCTGTGCTCTGGCCTCAAAGTTTCCCCAGCTCCCTTCCCTCTTTTAGAGGCTCTGTGGCTGCCCAAAGCAACACATTTTGCAGAAGCATGCAACACTTTGCTGATGAACATGCATATCCCTGGCTAAGAAATGCGTGTGCCATCTTGAGCCAGGTGTGCACAGCAGTGTGCCTGTCTTCTAGTGCCAGAAAGAGCATCTGGGCTGATCTGGCTGCCACAACTCCCACTCCCACAGGTGCTGCCTAGCAATAAGGTGTTCAGAGCCCTGCTAACATCATCCCTCTCTTGTTCCAGTACATCCCTCTCAAGCTGGAATTCCTCCAATGTCTGCCTCTTGACTTCCAGCTGCCTCTGCAAGGATGGCTCTTCTTTGAGTGCAGCCAGGTTCTTCACTGTACAAGAAGGGGCAAGACAACTTTTCAAGGGAAAACCAGTCTCATTTCTAAAACCAACCTCCATCCTGTCCTGCTGCTCTGCCTCTTCTGCCTGGACTGACGCTTCCTCCCACTGATTGATGTTCTTCTGCTGCAGACAAAAGGCTCCTGTCTCCGGGATTCCAGTGCATTGCAGCAGCATTTCCTTGGACTTCTCAAACTTTGCACAGTCACTGCAGAGACAAGGCTCAGTCAGAAGAAGCAAGAGGCCTGAAGAGTCAGCAATGCCATTTTCAGCACTCCAGGATGGAGCTGGGGGCAGTGGGCTAAGGAAGACCTTGCTCTTTCCCTCCCAAGGAAATCCTCCAGAGGCAAAGGGAAAGGAAGGCAGGATTTTGCCTTCCTTCAGCCAGAAGCAGTGGCTGGGCAGGGGCACACAAAGAACAGAATTCAGGGAAGCAGCACGACAAAAGGAAGGAGTCTTCTATTCCAACATGGCTCTGCATTTCCCAGACAGCCTGGGGAGTCACAGTAGAGCATGAAAAACCCAGACAGGCCAATGCTCGAGAGCCACACTGAGGCCCACAGATGGTGGGCAGGTGATTTCTTCACCCGGGACACCTCTGACCTCCCAGACCTGGAAGCACATTGCCTCTTGGATGCAGGAGGAGGAGGAGGAAATGCTCACCTTCTGATTTCTTCTAGCAGAGAGTCTATGATCTGGTATTGGCTTCTGATCCTCTGGGTTCTCTCCTCTACTTGATCAAACTGTTGCCACATGCGCTCACAATTCTCTGTAGCTTCCCGAGCCAATTCAAAGGGATGCTGCTCATCAGTGGATGTCAAAGTTGAGAGGATGTTTCCAGGATTGTTGGTGCAGATGATGGAATTGGCCATGCTGTCACCGTCGTCTACCAGCACCTGAAAGCCCACATCCAGCTGTTAGTCAGGTATTGTGTTCCTGTTCCAAAGTAGCACTGAGATGCCTCTTCCGATCCCACAAGATCCACTGTCCATTCATGGAGAACCAGTTTCAAAAGGCCAGCCAGCTCAGCACAGTTTACTCACCTCTGGGGCTCTGGAGGAACGTCCCTGGTGAGAAAGCCCTCGAGCTCCCTGCAAGTGCACAGGGAAGAGCACACTCAGACTGCCTGGCTGCCCCTGAGGCAGTCGCCTCTAAGCGCTTCCCAGCCTGTCCCAGAGCACAGCACTTCCAGCTGAGCTCTTCCTCCCCTCCTTGGCAATATTTTCAGCCCAGGACTTTGACAGAAGCACAAACCAACAAGCTGGAAGGTGTCTCATCACTTCTAAGAACACCAGAAGGGGAACTGCCCAGAGCCCAGTCCAACCTGGCCATGAACACCCCCAGGGATCCAGGGGCAGCCACAGCTTCTCTGGGCAAGCTGTGCCAGGGCCTCAGCACCCTCAGAGGGCAGAATTCTCTCCCAATATCCCATCCATCCTTGCCATGTCTCAGTGGGAAGCTTTGTCCTGTCCCTGCAGGCCCCTGGCTTAAGTCCCTCTCCAGCTCTCTTGCAGCCCTTTCATGCATTGGAAGGGACTCTAAGGTCACCCTGAAACCTTCTCCAGCCTGGACAACCCCAACTCTTGCATCCTTTTCCCTTGGCACAGGTGCTCCAGCCCTTGCAGCATCTTCCTGTCATCCTTGTGACCTTCTCTAAGCCACTGGGGATCATTTTGGAGATGTCAGGGAGAAACTCATTTTTGACTCTGGGAAGCACTGAGGCTGCACTGTAATTTGGGTGAGGGGAAGGCAATGAAAAGCTGCTCCCTTGTTTTTGCCCATGGCCTCCAGTGGGACAAGGACAGTGGAGGAGATGTGGCTGTGCTCTGGGATAGCCAGGAGCCCCCCATTCCCTGCCAGGCCTGTCCCCAGGGCAAGCACCACAGCTGCTGCCAGCTCTGCAACAGCCAACTGTCAATCCCTTGCTAATCCCAAAGGGAACTGTTCCCCAAGGCGCAGCCCAGGCCCTGCCAGGTCCCGGCTGGGCTTGGCACAAGGAGAGCAGCGGCTTTGTCACTCACCCTCCGGGTCTCCATCTGCCCCTCGCACAAAGATAGAGAAAATATCGGTGATCAAAGACCCTTGGTCTATGCAGGGTCTAAACCCCGATATCCAAAGGCCCTTGGCCTATGCAGGGCCTAAATCCTGATAAAAAAGGCCCTTGGTCTATGCAGGGTCTAAACCCCAGTGACCAAAGGCACTTGGCCTTTGCAGGGTCTGAACACCAATATCCAAAGGCGCTTGGCCTTTGTAGGGTGTAAACACCAATATTCAAAGGCCCTTGGCCTTTGCAAGGTGTAAACACCAATATCCAAAGGTTCTTGGCCTTTGCAGGGTCAATAGCACAAAGTGCCCTTGGCCTTTGCAAGGTCCAAGCCCCAAAGTCCATGAGCTGTTGACAGCTCCAGGGTACAAACCCCAATAGCCAGGAGCTGTTGATTGTTGCCAGGATCCAACCCCCAGCATTCCATGGCCTTTGTGACAGTTGCCAGGGTCATACCCCCAGCATTCCATGGCCTTTGTGATGGCTGCCAGGGCCCAAAGCCCAGCATTCCAGGGGCTGTTGGAGAGGCCCTGCCTGGCTCTCCCCCCATCCCAGCTCCCTGCTGGTCCTGGCACTGTCCCTGCTTCCCTTGGGTCCCCAGAGCCCTCCTGGGCAGCTGGGCAGGGACCTGGCTCAGAAGTCAGTTTGAAGGCTCAGCATTCTCAAGACCTGCAGGCTCTTTAAGGATCTGCTTCATTCCTGAGTCACAGGAATTCTTCTGTCTACCCTGACAAAGGGCATATGTATGGAAAAGCCTAAAAAATTCTTGGTGCCTACAAATATTCATGGAAAGATTTGCTTTTAGAACAGCTACATGAGGAGGAAAAATGGTGCGTCATGGGCTTTTCAAACTTCTACAGAGAAAAGCCAAGAGGTGCAATGTTTAAGGCTCACAAAATAGATTAAGAATTCTGAGACAGCCACGAGTGCATTTTTTTCTCTGCTCTCTGTTTGGCAATAAATCACTAGGTCTTGTAGGCAGAAGAAAAGTCTTGCTGCTTCCATCAAAGATTCCTCACTAAAACAGACCTTCAAGAACCAAATGGGTTTGTTTGCAGAATCTTTGGCAGGTATTTTTTGCCCTCATCTTTGACAGTGTTTATCTGTGTCCTAGGGAGGATTTTGTGCCCCTGTTTACAGAAATTGGCTTCTGAGCAAGGCACAACTCCTGCACGGAAGAGAAGAGCTGCACCTGCCTTCTGTAAGGCCTGTCTCTCCAGAGACACACGGCCCAAGGATGTCAGTGCCAAGTTAAGGTTCAGAGAGTGATGCAGCTTCAAGTCTCTGCTTCCACAAGAGCAGCTTTGGGCTCCTTGCACAGCTGCAAAGGAGCAGCACAGCTCCTGGTGAAGGTCTGACAGCTCCTGCCTGGTCCTTGCACAGCTCTCAGTGTAGTTCTGCCGCTGCTGTCGCTCTTGGGCCAGCTGTGACTGCAGCAGGGACACCTGAAAGAGGCACAAGGCCCCGCTCAGACAAGCCCACGCTGGCAGGAGCACCTGCAGCCCCACGGTACTGGCTCTCTGGGCACACACAGCCTCCAACTCCAGCCCTCACCAACACTCTGCCCTTGGGCAAGGGGAAAGGAACAGGCTCCCACACACAACAGAGCTCAGAGCATCAACAAGTCCAGTTCAAGGCTGCCAAACCCTTCCCACGTACATCCCTCAGCCACCACAGGTCTATTACAGAGACTCCCAAAGGGATTTAGGAACCCAGCCCTGATTTCCAAAGCACACATTTGGGCCACTGACCCCTTTCTACACAGGCTGAGGAGCACGAGGGCTGCTGCTCCCCTGAGCTCCTGGAGGACTCTTCTACTTGAGCTGCTGGACCACCAGCCCAGTCATGAGGGGAATGTGGTGCTTGGGTTTTTTGGTGCATTCTTGAGGCATTTGAGTACCTCAAGTCCCATTTTACACATCCCCATTGTGAAAAATGAGGTTCACTCTCCTGTAAAATTTGAAAGTTGAATAAAGAACAATAAGAGACAAATAAAGCAAATTTTTTTGTGGCCAGGTGCTTGGCATTCAGCCAAGAGCACACCTGCTCTTTCAGAGATGTCCTTTACATACTCTTTCTACTGCATTAGCCTACTGCATAGTCATAACCAATTAAGCATATTTAAACTTTTCCCCAAGCTAGTTTACATGTTCCAAGAATTGTTTAGCATGGCTCCTCCTCAGGTCCACCTTTTCAGAGCATGTGCATTTCGTGGCTGTGGTTTGAGCTCACCCTTGTTATCATCTCCTGTTTGGGCTTTGGTCCATTCTTTCTACAGATGGTCAGTGCTGATAACTGGCATGTCAGCAAGAGGGGTCTCCATCATATGTTCATTGAATGTTATCCCAACCAAGCAGGCAGTTTAACACAGGCATATTATATCACCCATTTACCTACTATGTCAAGGTTTAGTGTAGAACTGAAAAAACTCTATATTTTTATAGAAAAGTTATTCTAATACACATATAGAATCCATCTTAATATTTGCAAAAAGTCTATATTATAATATGTATTTATAACAATGCTTTTCCTGGGAGCACCCATATCTGCACCCCTCATAGCTGAACAGAGGGGTGGGGGTTTGGTTCCACAGGGGTCCGGCAGAAATTTTGGACACAATGTATTACCAATCAGTGCCCCACATGCCAATGCAAAGTGACTCTGAAAGGCAAAGACATCGTCTGAACAGGACTCAGTGACACTGGTGCTAAGTGTGGCTGTGTGACAGAGACAAGGAACGCGTGAGCCAGGGCACAAATGCTGCTCTGAGCCCTGGGGCCCAGGGAGCACTGACATCAGCAGGTGTGGCAGAGTCCCTGCCAAAGCAGAGTCCCCCCGAGCCCTGGCAGCGCTGGTGCCCATCTCCTGCCCCAGAGACCTGTGCCTCGAGAGGGCTTCTCTGCCAGAGGGCAGCCAAAGCCAACGTGCACTGGGGGCTGTGCTCCATCCTACAGGGCCTCTTGGGAGGAGCACCTGGAGCAACTGGTGGCAACACTTGGTACGTGTCAGCTGATGTTGCCCCTTCCTGGAATGATTTTTTTCAAGAAAGGGATTAGGAGTAGCACAGAAAGACCAGCAGCTGCAGAATTTCACAGGACAAAGAGACTCCACCAAAACACTGTCATGTTTCCTTGTGCTTTTCTGTCTGTCTTGCACTCGGAAAGAAAAAGAATTGGCCCAGCCTCTGCTTTTCAACTGTCCACTTACTGTGTGTCTTCCTGTGGCAGCTCCCGTGCAAACACAACTGGCTGCCTGCTGAGCACGGCAATGGACGGCCACAAACAGGGAGGTCCCCGGTGAACATCAAGGCAGATACCCGGGGAAGTGCAGAGGATAGGGATAACTCTGGGAGAAGAAGGTGTTCTGTGTGTCTGATGGTGGTGCAAGCACCATGAAGGAGCAGCCAAGACAAGTGCTGGAAGCAGCCATGTCCTGCTCTTTTCTGCTGTCAGGTGCACACAGGACAGACTTGTTGCCCACAGGTCCAGCAGACTTCATTCAGGAACGATGGAAGCCCATGCATTGGTAGGGAATGGGCTCCAGCAAGAGCAAAGCAGGATCTTCCAGCAGCCAAGCCTGAGCTCGTTAAGCGAGCCATGTGCTCAGCAGACACCAAAGTGCTTCCTTCGAGCCCTGAATGGTGGCCACAAGTGCCTGCCTTACTTCAGCACCTCCTGCTGCTTCCTTTGTTCCAAGCCAGTCCAGGATTAAGGTTCGAAGCTCATGCATGTGTTTTTAAAGCGCCTGCACGAAGGAGAGGAATGCCAGCAGCAGCGCAGCCTTGTTTCCCTCTTACAATGGCACCAGTGCTGCTGCCTGGGGATGCTGGCCTGTGGAAGGCGAGTCTGCCCTCAAGCACAGCCATTGTAGTCAGTCAGGGGCACAGGCTGCAGCAGCAGCTGCCAAGCATTGTTGTGAGGCTGGTAAACCAAGAGAAAGCCATTGTGGCCGAGCGTGCTGAAGCCTTTTGCTAAACCACGTGCAATAGTGCCCACAGCATGGCCCCTTTGGAATGGCGGCTGGTGCAGACGCCTCCTGGAGCAGTTG